TGTTCCAGATGATCACTGTGTACCCGTTGTTGGGCTACCTGGCACGAGTTCAGCTGTTAAGACAGTTTTTTGGAAACGCTTACCCAAGGTAAGAAGTCTGTTCCTCGACAAGAGTTTGGCACAGTTCGCTTAACTGGCAACTTTGTGTTGTCAGAAAATTGGCTTTGCTTTGGGGGATTTCCTTTGCTACATTAGGTACATTTCATAAGCTACTTTCACTGCAGGGTGAATAGGCATGCAAAGCAAACTGGCCTTCAGATCAGGACTGCTACAGCTTGGCAGAGCAGAACTGGGGGGGTTCTTTTTGGCTTAGCTCTTCATTTTGTCAATAAACAGAGGAATTTTGTCAACACAGTTCCTCTGTGTTATGCATTTATATGGCAAAAAGTTGTGTAGAACAAATAGATCTTTTAGTTCAGGAGCGTTTTGCCTAGTAGTCTTTAAGCTGTGAAGGACATATGCTCCAGATAGTAACCTTTCAGGGTGCTGTCTCTGTTTTGATTGTGCATGATTAGTAATCATCCATCTGTTTGGGAACAGGGCTAATAGCTAAGTGAGTTGTTAGTTGTGTTATCTGCGCTGCTGCTATGCTTACAAAAATAGCTTTTCACATGCTAATTTCAGAGATGAGCCACAACCCTGCATTTGTACACTGTCTGAACTCCAGGGAAGAGCTGATCCAGAGCTCAATTTTAGTTTGTTTGGGTTTTTTAAAATAAAACCTAGGACATTTATATTTGGAGTATTGTCTGAATTTGGCACAGTGAGAAGTTGGCATTTATCTCCAAGTTTCTTATTTTATATTGTGAATTACTGTTGATGGAGGAAAGGAAACAAAATAGCTCAGGAAGGAATGTGTATTTCCTCTGGGGCATCAGCAGTAGCATACAGGTCTGCAGAGACGTTGTTCCAAGTTTCAGGTTTCTTCTGAGTCCTAAAATAGGTATGAGAGGTTCTAGAAACTGAATGCCTAAAATTAGGCAGTGAAATAAGGGCCTGCTTTTTTGGATGCTAAATTGTACGCAGTTCAGCGTTGAGGAGATTTTTAGGAACTGCTACGAGTTACTGTTGGAAACAAGGCCATTTATTTAAGTGCTAAACATGGATTTCACAGCCACTGGGAAATAGTCCTTCCCTTTATATTATGAGGATGTGCCTCTTCCTATCTCCTCCCTCCAGTTACTCCCTGACCAGAATGGTTTTCATTTCCCTCATGCCCTCTCCTAGAACCTACAGCTTCATACCAGTCCCTTCTCAGGTTAATTCCAGCTTACTGTTTTAAGCCTTCATGCTATGACGAATGTGATGATGCAAATACTTGCTTGGTTCTTGTCTCCAGGATGTCTTGTGGGTAGCTTCACTCATTTTTTAATTTAAATTTTCTCAAAGTCTTATAGGGAGGTATTTAAAGCTTCTGAGAAGTCAAAAATGGATTCTAGGAAGCCACATAAGTCACTCCAACCTGTTGTGATAAGGTAGCATATTCTGGCTGGTTGGCTATCTATTTCTCAAGTATCCCAGGTGTCTCAAACATTGCACAAAAGTTACTCAGACAACCTTCAGGCTCTCACCTCTGTGCGTATACAACAGCCAAGGTCAGCCCTTATTTTTTCCATGCTGTGAGAACTAGCTGAAGGCTAGTAGCAAGCACAAGATATGTCTCTGGGAAGATAGTAGATATTTACTCCTGGTTGTAAAATATGTCTTCATGACTGGTTCTCACCAGTCATAAGATGAAGGTCCTTTAATAGCATGGTATCTATATCACCTGTCTAGAATAAATTTCAGTATTTTCAGTTTTTATCTGAGCTGCTTATGTGGCGAAACATTTTACAAATATAAAGATGTGGCTCTTAGTGGCATAAACTGATGTCTTACTGGTGAGACTGTTGATCCACCCTGAAGAATCTCCCTGGAAATACTAAGTTCCATGGCTTTTGTGTAGGAAAATGAGCACTCCTACTGGTAGTTTGATACACTTGGCTTCTTTTATCAAAGTCCTCAATAATTGGGGCAAACAGTTGTTGGACAGTAAGACTGACCTGCAGACACTTACGCTTTAGGTCTTAGACATGTGTATAAGGTGTATATACAGAGAAGAATATTCTAGGTAATGTAGCTGCTGAAAACTCTTGTGCAAGTAGTGAAATAGAAGGGTAAAGCAGGATCTTCATTGGAAACCTAGCCTTGTTGAACCATGTGATTCAATGTGCTGGATCACATCTTTCCATATGTGTATTTTTCCTATATTAAGTTTCCTTTGTAGCTGAAAGAATCCTAGAAATTTGCCTTTGGCTGTAATTGTCCAAACAAAAACATCAGCAACAAAATCTAACAAACACACCTCCTTTTTTGGTCCAAGCCTCCATTCTAAATCTTCCTATCTTCATTTTTGAGCCGTAGGTTGCTCCACATGGAAGCTCACTGATTTTAAAAGCCAGGCTTCTTCAGATCAGCAGTTGTTTGCAGATGTGGATACCTGCTCCTGCTATAGATGGAGTTAGCAGATAGCCATTGAGTTATTAGCTGGAGTACTTGAAATTCTGGATGGATGCATCTTAAAGCTGATAGCTTGATCACATGCTTACAGAGCTGCCATGCAATTTTATTTACCCGTGATGTTTGTATTTCTCAGATCAGTTCAATTCTTAGAGTTTTCCTCCTTTTTCTTTACTATTTATCTGTCACTGGTTATGATGAAGCACCAAGGTATTGGTTTACTGCTTTCCAGCTCATAATATTGATAATTGGTTCTACCAAAAGCACCATCCTTGTTCATATCCTGTTTTTTGCTGGTAGGCCATGGGTTATAACTGGATTATAATGAGAAACTACTTACTCATCTTCAGGGGAGCTTTTATTGTCTGAAGACTGATTTCTATCTCTTCTGTCCCACACTTTTTAGGTACTTTGTAGTGCTATTTTTCTGCAAATGAACTTTGCTGTGTGTATCCATAGTGTATTCTACTAATCCATAGTCTTTCATGAAGAAGCAGCTCACTCTCTCCAAACTTAAAAACTTAAGCAGACAATGCATAACTTTTTTCTTCTCCCAGATTTCACAGCAGGGGTCACCTGATCAGTGGGAGCTTGCTTGTTTGAAGCCTAGAGAAAATGAGTATCCTGTCTCTTCCAGCAGTCAGGAGAGCAAAAGCACCCCTGATGCTAAGAAGGGGAATTTTCCTTCCTCTTATGTACCTATATCAGTCACCCTTGTCTCTGCCTGTCTTAAAAACAAATGCATGTTTCTACATGCATTTGTTTCTACATCTACATATGCTGAGCACAGTAGTCTACTGACAGACATCATCCCATAGAATCATACAAAGGTTTGGATTGGAAAGGACCTTCATGATCATGATCTAACCCCCCTGGGTTACAACTCCCACTAGACCAGGCTGTTCAAAACCCTATCCAGTCTGGCCTTGAGCACTTCCAAGGATGGGGCAGCCACAACATCTTTGGGCAGCCTGTTCCAGTGCCTCACCACCCTCACAATAAAGAGTTTCTTTTGTATATTTAACCTAAATTTCCCCTCTTTCAGTTTAAAACCATATTTCCCCTTGTCCTGTCACTACAGTTTCTAATGAAGAGTCCCTCTCTGGCTTCCTTATATGCCCCATTCAGGTACTAGAAAGTTGCTAGGAGGTCTCCACACAATCTTCTCTTCTCCAGGCTGAAGAGCCCAAACTTCTCAGCCCATCCTCATAGGGGAGATGCTCCAGTCTTCTTACCAACTTTGTGGCCTCCTCTGGACTTGCTCCTACAGTTCCATGTCCTTCTTATGCTGGGATACCAGAACTGCACACAATATTCCAGGTGGGGTGTCACAAGAGCACAGTAGAGGGGGGAGAATCACCTCCCTTGACCTGCTGGCCACACTCCTTTGGATCCAGCCCAGGACACAGCTGATTTTCTGGGTTGTGAGCACACACTGCAACTTGTGTTAAGTTTTTCATCAACCATCACCCCCAAGCCATTCACTGCAGAGCTGCTCTCAATCACTTCTCTGTCCAGCCTAGAGGAATGTCTGGGATTGCCCCAGCCCAGGTGTAGGACCTTGCACTTTGCTTTGTTGAACTTCATCAGGTTTGCACAGGCCTATCTCTTGAGCCTGGCAAGATCTCTCTGGACAGCATCCCTTCCCTGCAGTGTGTCAGCTGCACTTCACAGCTTGGTGCTGAGGGTGCACTCGATCCCACTGAGCTTTCAGCCTTTCTGTGCTTGCTGCAAAAGGTTTAGACACAAGAGAAGACATGCTAATTCCTTCCTTCATCTTGCAACACGTGTGCTAGTAGAGTGTACAGACTGCAACACAGAAAGTGATGTACTGGGACAAAACCCAGGAACTGTTCATTCTCTCTACTTTCTTTGGTGTTGTAAGGGAAGGCCAAAATGTTGGGTATTGGGAAATTATTTTCTCAAGTGAGATATGTTCACAATGATGTCATTGGACAGCTGACTTGGGGCCAGAGGCCTGTGCTTTTATCTTCTGTTTCTTTCTTGATTCTGGATTGTCTTATTTGTACAGAAAATCAATTTTTTTCATTATTGTTACTGGCACTTGGCTACAGTGATATTTGTGACAGAGATTCTCTTGATTAATTATATGCTGTGCATAAAATGCTTTCTACAGTTACCTGATAATGTTTTAATACTTCCTAATGTCTTTCCTGTTCTGAGAGCTTGAAATAAGATAATGGACAAAAATCACTTGGCTTTCCTTACCGATTGTCCTCCCTTTACTCCATGGTAGCCCAGCAGACCTGCCAGTTCTCCCACAGATGTATGTGCTCCGATGCAATGCAAGACATTTCTGCTGTTTGCATGCATGTTTGCTTATCTGCTCCTCACCTAGCTTCTATATTGCTTGTTAACAGCTGTGATTCATGGTCTTTTGACCAGTGTCACTTGAGTGAGATTTCCAGGAAGAAAATGCATTTTTAGATACAGTAACATTTCAGAAATTCTTACTTAAATGATCCTGATTTCTTTCTTGGCTTTCCAGTTTCCCTTACTGTGTTCACTCTGTGACTCCATGCTGAGTCCAGCACTTACACTAATTTCCTTGCATCTGACCTGAAAGGATTTAAAATCAGTTTATTTCTTTTCATTTCCCCTGCACTAGAGTTTGGTTTCACAATTGTTTTTATGATTCTTACTTTGAGGATGCCAACATTAATTAGATATATATGTTCAGTGCTGTTCAGTGACTTTAGTGTAACTGCCACTTCCACAGGAGAGCACTTGATGGGGCAGGCCCTCTAATGATCTTCTGGCATACCAGGTTGTTCCTCCACTCTGTCAGTCTGAAAGGTTAACCTTGCAATAGGAGAAAAAATCAAGACTGAGGGAAAATCTTCAATTTTTTAAAAAATCTTTTGTTTTGCTCTGCTCTGCTATTGTATTTGTGGGATTGCAAGATTTTTGCAGGGGAGCAGAAAGCATTCCCTTGATAGAAAAGAGCTGAGGTCTTCAGCAGCCCAACCAGGAGTGTTCAGACTGAGAACAGAATACAAAAGGCTTGCTGTGGGTGTGCCTCCGGTGTGAATTACAGCCTCCTTCAGGCAACCCAACCTGTGCCTCAAGAGCAGCAGCCCCAGTCATGCTGCCCAGGTGGACAGTCCAGCCCTGGCATGGGCCACCCAGTGCTGCTACCATTTGCCACGAGGAGAGTTGCAGTGCTTAGAAAATGGGTTCATCCTTGCAGGGTAGTTAGGTAAAAACAGGCCAGATCTCTTCTGGTCTCTAACATTGTTTAAATACTTTTCTTCCTATAGTCATAAGAAGCAGAGGTGGCATGGTTGTGCATCCCCAAAAATGCTGTTTTTCTGACTGTCCTTTTGCAATGTGTGGTGACCATTAATTGTACAGTATTCCAGCATCAGGCTACACCTGGGCAATTCAGAGCTTGTTAAAATGTCACAGGCTCTGAGAGATTCTTGTCCCATCTGAACACACCTGCATGAAACTTTTACAGTCTTATGAAAAGTACTGTCTCAAATAATACATGTACAAGTCGCCCTAGATTCTGTAGGGTAAGGGGTTTTTTTCTAAATGACAATACCTCTCTCTCTGCTGAGAATGAGGCTCTTTCCCCATCCTGGAGATGGGATGAACTATGAATATCTGCCTAGGTAAAATAAATGGTTCTCTGATTAAACACCTGCTGCCCAATAACATGGTTACAACTCAGCCTGTTCTAAAAGGTAGAAAAAGGAGCAAGGATGTCCCAGGGAACAAATACAGTGTAATCTTTCTCATTGAAACAGAGAGATTTAAAGCCTTTTCAGGCTTTCTAATTTTGGTATTGTTACTGAGGATCCTGCTTAATTCTGACAATTAAAACTGCAAAGCACTGCTCCACAAATACTGAATTGATTTGGAGGCTCCAGCATTTTGGGACCATGTTTTCAATTGAGCCAAAACACATTCCCCTCCCCAACCCAGTAATTTTTTCTCAGATCAAGAAGTTGAAAAATTTTTCATTTTACACCAAACGTACACAGACACCACTTTGCTTTTTAAGTTATGGGAACCTAGAATTAATTTTTCTTAAAGCAACAGCTTTGAGCAACAAAATCATGTCTTCTATTTTAAAACAAGACAGAATGAAATATTTCTGTTTTTTTCAGGTTTTCTGCTTAAATACTCAGAATTGACACCAATTTGCAAAACATTTCTGAGTTACTAAACCTGCACTCTTTTTAATCCCTCGTGCTAGAAAATTAATCTCAGCAAAAAAAAGAATGAAAGAAGTGCTGTTGCTTTCTATGTTCATAAACTTTTGACTTCAATTGTGCTATTTGACAGTAAGATTTGAGTTCTGCCATATGTGTGGGGAGAGAAAAAGTAGTTTTTAATGGCAGACGCTTTTCTGTGAAGAGCTCAGTTAGTTGGCTTTCCGTAGCAATATTAGGTAAGCTGTACACATTTGGTCCTAAAAAGTCTGATTCTTGGGATTTTATTTTTTTCCATGGGCTTTCGCAGATTTATATCCTATTACATTGTCATTAAACTTTCAGCTGCTGCATTCCCAGTGCCATCTTCTGTGTGTGAGGCACACCTCTTGCACCACTGTTAAAATGTCATGTACAAAATTAAAAATGCTATTTCTGTCCTTTTGAAATCAGTTTATAAGAGTGAAGGTTAGAAATAGTCTGTATCTTAAATTATTCCTTTGTGTTTTAGTTACCTTCATCCCCTGCATTTTAATGAGAGTACTCTGTGTCTCTAATCTTTCTTCCTAGCTTGGAAACTGGCAGGCAGCCTTTCAGCCATGGAAGTTGTCACTTTTTAAAAGTTTGTTAGTTAGTGACATCCTCCGTAACACACATACATTCTACAGTGAAGAAAAAAATGAGCCTTGACCTACAGTTTTTGTTTATTTTAAGAAATCATACCCTCCAGAAGAATAAACAAAACCTGTAAGTGTATGTGTGTTTCCTCTGTGTGAATCCTTTTTTCTCTTCATAGAAACAGCTGTGTGACCGAAATATCCCAGGTTTTTATTATATTTCCTGACTCTACCTTATGTTAAAATATGCCAGCATTTCATATTCTCTAAAGAAAAGTGATACTCTCCTGGGTCTCAGTTCTGTGCATAACTACTCTGAATTCATCTGATGCCTTAAAAGCTGCTTTTGTAGAAGATAAAATATCTGATTTTTTTCATCCTTAATGCAAAAGAAAAGCAACAGGAAATTATTTGTAAAAACAAGTTCAAGAAAGAATTTCAGCATAAATAAGACACAGGTCATATACTGAATGATGTCCAATATTCTAAATGTTTGTCCTCTACTAAAATGCAGTAGGGTTCAAATTTTAAGGTGTTATTTCCCCTCTAGTAATCTTTGTAATGTTTTCCACTGGATGCATCCTTTCCTTTCTTCTGGTTTCCATTAGTTCACTCTGAGCAATTCAGATCACTCTCTGGACAAACCAATTCTTTCTTGTGGGAATTAAGTTACACAGTATTGTTTCTTTGGTATTTGAATATCCATCTGAAATACATGAGTGCTGAGTACTACGTATGGTGTTTTTCAGAAGAGTTGCCAAATTACACATTCTTACTCCTTAAGAATATTCTGAGTCAAAACACTGGGTATTTAGAAATTGGCACTATGAATATTCAGTAGAGAATGTTTGCTGTGAAATTAATTAGCTTTAATCGAGTGAGTCATGCAAATGAAAATGCCATCTGTGTACCAGTTAAATGTTAGTGCAAATGAAGAATAATGGTGGTATTTGGTTATAAATACAGCATGGATTTTCAGACTATTTCCTCACTTCTCTGTAGCCTTTTCCATGTGCTCGTCCTGAACCTAGCTATTGTAGGAGCTGGAGTAGCAATGGCAAGATTTTATCCAAATATAGGAGGAATCATAAGGTGAGTGTTGCGCAGTGAGTTTGCCTGTGGTGTTGCTGCATGTTTGCCTCTTGATGTTGTAAAGGAACAGCAGTAATTGTATATTTATATTTTGTGGGACTTACACCTTCTTAAGTTGTAAATAATGATTTAGATGTATAAACAATCTGCTCTTTGAAAGTTCTGACAACCAGCTGTATGCAATTGTGCCTCTGTACCTGAGGTGGTTGGGATGATTCTCCAGTTTCATTGGAGCTGTGTCTGAGGACCTTGTAACTGTACACATGAAAGAATATGGTGGCAGTAGAAAAGTTGCTTGGTGATTTTATGGCTTCTCTCAAGGTTTTATTTTGTGTTAAGACCATTTGAATTATAGAATCACATGCAGTATAGAATCATGGAAGAGACCTTTACGATTGTCACATGCAGCCATCCACCAGCACTACCACTGTAACCCCCAAACCATATCACCCAGTGCCAGATCCAGCACCTCTTAAACATCTCCAGAGGTGGTGATTCCACTGCCTCCCTGGGCAATATTCCAATGCCTGACCACTCTAACAGTGAAGAAATATTTTCTAATATATAATCTGAATCTCCCCTGAAAATGATTTGGAAGTCTGTAATAAAAAATCCAAGAAAGCAAGTAACTTGAAAGAGAAAAGTGACATAAAAGTTTTTCCCTATATAATATCTTAAATTTACTATGTTGATGAACAGCTAGGATTTCTATAATTTGGAAATATTAGAGCAAATAATCTAGGAGTTTTATTTTCTACATTTGACATCACCATATTTATAAGCATCGTCATTCGTTCCTGGTTTGCATCTTTCCTACAGCAACCAGGAGAGGGAGGTGTTTAAAAATATAGAAATCTGCAATTATAAAACCAGAATTACAGGCTTGGGTCTGACCAGAGTAGCAAAATAACTTACTTTTGCTCGGTGGCTGATCTTTGAGGTTTTTTTCCCCGTTTCCTTCTTTTTTTTTTTTACCTCTCCTTTTAGTGAAAATTTTTGTATTCCAGTAATAGAGCAGGTGTAGTTAATCGTCATCATTGAATCTTAGAATGATAGAATGGACCTTAAGGTTGGAAGGGATCTTAAAGAGCAAATAGTTCCAACCCCCCTGCAGTGGGCAGGGATTCCTTCCACTAGACCAGGTTGGTCAAAGCCCAAGCTGGCCATGAATACTTGCAGGGATAGGGCAGCCACAACTTCTCTGGGTGCCTACAGTGAATGATTTCTTCCTAATAAAATAAATACCAGGTAATATATTTCTCCATTTGCAAACTGATCCTGACCTCTGCTAATGTGCCTATGTTGTGCATAGCAACCAAACATTTTGAACAGCGAATTTGAGTAGCTGATAAATTGAATATATGCAGGCTAACTTGGGCATTTGCTGGTTTTATGTTGCCAATGATTACTCTATTTTGTGATGTTTCCTCCATCTAAAAGCAATGTTCAAATATTTGAAACAAAGTATGTTGTTAATTAATAATGTACATTTGGCTGCAGTATAGCTTAGCAGGTGAAAATAATGAGAAGGTTTTTGTAATCAAGGGAGGGGTTAGAATAAGAACAGGTAAATGTTTCCCTTGCTGTGGTTGATCATGTTACCAGCAGGGCATGTTGTTTGTTTCGGGTCTGGAGAATGCCTTGCTAGGAGCTCACTAAATAAATTAAAGTAAGAGCTGTAGATGCAAGAGCAGGTCTATGCGTACATGCTTTAATATCTGTCCTCAGATATCTGGGGTGCAATGAGACTTGCAGTCCTAACAGCAAAGGTTGCATAAGAAAGGATGCGCTGTCCAGTCTCTTTCTGTTGTACATTTACAAATCTCCCCAAAGAAAGTAGAAACATGGAGTCAAAGATAAGAGTCAGTCCCCAGCAGCATGAGGGGATGTGACTGAAATGACAGAGGTGTGTCAGAGTGCAGATCCAGGCGAGCAGAGGGCTGGACAACACAGAGGGTGATAATGAAATGCTAATGAAGGAGGTGAAGGACAGCAGGGAACAGAAGTTGATGTTTAGCAGCTGCAGATAGTCAGTGTTCATCCAGACTGCTCATTGGTTTGACGGGAGAGGAAATGACAATAAGAAATTAGAATAAATACAAAGCATTCTTTTTTTTCCCCTTTTCTTCTTCCCTTCTTCTCCTCCTTTTCTCAGATACTCTGGAGCAACATGCGGTCTGGCCTTTGTATTCGTGTATCCATCCCTGATCTACATGATCTCCCAGCACCGTGCTGGGCAGCTGAGGTGGCCAGCATTGATCATTCACATCTTTATAATCCTCCTTGGACTGGCTAATCTGATTGCCCAATTCCTATTGTGAAAACTCTCCCTTCTCCCTGTGGCTGTCACAAGTGGTGCTGTGGTATTTGGCAACAGCCCTGAGCCAACACTGTCGGGCATGAGAACAGTCCTCAATATGATGATCTGGAGAAAAGCTGCACCTTCGAAACAAATTCAAAACACATCTTTCAGGCACTTGACAGGAGACATGTCTTGATCCTATGAAAATACAGTGTTATGAGAAGTGAAATGGTTCAGATTGGAGTGAGGTAGTTCCCCTGGTTGTGTTGAATGTACATGAAAAATTAATGGAGCTCAAATGTATTAATTTTTTACAGCACAGTTCTCAAAACACAGATCTTTCAGCCTCAGGCTGTGGAACTCTACTCCAAAAGGAACTGTCCTTTACCTTGAATAACAAACATGCTTTCTCAGCATTGTTCAGTGGCTCTTTGAAATGCTCTTTTGTTGCCGTTATTTTTCTGCTTTATTTGGAAAATGAAGAAATTATTGTCTTTCCCTTTTTTTAATGTGAATTTATAGTCATTTGGGTCAAAATGAACTCTTAATTTTGAATATGCTATTAAATTGTTTTGGCAATATTTTTCCTCTAGGAAATTCCAAGAAAAAGAAACAATACACTCATGTTTCAGTGTTTTATTCAGAACCAATATGTACCCAAGTTATTTGTGACCTTACAATGAAAAAAAAGGAGGATTAAAAAAAAGCAGAACAAGACAATTAAAATTAGTGTTCCAGGCTTGACCTCACTTCAACTCTGTTAACTGGGCTATTGTGTGCTGTGAAGTTGTCTTCTCAGGAGTTGCATGTGGTTTCATGGATGCATGTTGTACACAGCATTCATCACAGGTTTGCTCACTCCCTTGTGGGGTCTTACTCTAGTGGTCTCTCACTGTTCTTTCCCACTGCATTCTCCAGACATTTGGGATGTGAGCAGGAGAGACAACACTAGCACTCCTCAGAATTGTGGATGAAATCAAGGAATTTAAGCTTTAAATAATTCCTGACAGAAGCTGGAAGAATCTGGGAAGGTTTTTATTGTGGGCTTGGGTTTTTCTGACTTCTTGTTTACTGACTAAGAGGTTGTACATGCGTAAGTACACAGACACCTTCCCTCACTACCTTCTGGGAGTTTGTGTTTGAACCCAAAACATGCAATAATTAAGTTGCCAGACAGTAGTGGAATGTCATTTTTGTGGTTGGAGAGAGAGAAAAAAACCTCCTCTTTGCACAGAATTTCAATGCATTAAAATAATCAACAAATGCAGAATTTAACTGAAAGAGGGCTCTGAGCAATGCTAAATTCCAAAGTAAGTAGAAGGGGGAAAACATTGGGGTGATGCAATATTTGTGAAGTAGGAGTTGAGTTGGGAAAGATAATTACATTGCAGGGTAAGAGTTCATATTTTCATCAGAAAACCAATGAAAGACATAACCTAGATATTATTGCCATGGTTTTCTGGGAAATGATGTGAAGTTTTCTTTGTAATGTTGTAAATCCATTTGTTTGACACCTCAAACTGTGTAAAAGACACTGACTTTAATAAAGGTTCTTTGATTTATATGCAATACAAGATGATGTGGGTTTTGGAATACTGTCTGCAGAATACAATATTTCAGACTTTTTTTCTTGTGAAACCCTCTGTGCCTTTAAATCAGAGTTTGAGAACACATCTGTCATCTCTTCTGTGTTAGAGAGAAGTATTTGCCCCCATCCTGGTCATTTTTCCCATGTATGTACTCTTACAAGGTAAGTCCTTGAACACCAAAAGGGAAGGACAAAAGATACAGGATTCCAAGCATTGTTGACTTACTCACATTAAGCCCTTGTGCTTATTTATTATGGATTCAGTGCTTGATTACCTGCTGAGTGCAGGTAATTCAATTAGATTATGTCCTTCCATGTTCCATCTGTATATGATTCCATGACTCAAATCCTTGCCATTGAGGCTGATAGAAAAATGCCCATTGATTTTAGCAGAATTAAATTCTGCTAGGACCTAGGAGTCAACAGAAATCCCTAAGTAAGACAGAGTTCGTGGTGAAGTGTCCTAATTGCATCTTGTCTGTCTGTCTCTTTTTCCAGTTGTGCAACATACAATGACTGAGTTAATATTTAGAAGGAAATTATTCAGTACCTTTCTAAAAGCCTGTTTTGGCTTTGTGTTACAGAGAGAGGTGCTGGCTGCACTGTTTGTTTATACAAGCCTTTAAAAGCTGTGATGTGAGTTATAAGCTGGTAAGCATTAAAGTGATAGCAAATACTTCATTACTCCTGAAGTATACTTTCTTATGAGAAAGTATGTTTTTATTTCACTGCATACAGTTGAGATTTTCACAAGCATCAGAAGCAAGTTGGGAGTGCATAAGTAGATTGGCATTGTCAGCATCCTAAGTTAAGTAATATTTTAAAATTTAATGACAACTTAGATGGCCTAAAAGACCAGAAATAGATTGCAGTGTCTTTTTTTCTTTTTCATGCAAGCACAAAACGTAGGTCTGTGCAAACGCACACTTCATCTGCAGTGATGGACAGCTAATTTCAGTTCCTTAGGTTCTCTGTTCCAGCAAATCATCATGTGATTTAGCGGAACAAAAAAAAGTAATATATGGACCCAATGGTGTATTGTGAAATGTCATTTATTACCTTCTCACAGAAGAAAAATAATTGCTGCTGGAAATAGTGGATTCTGTCTTTACATTTGAGCTTTGCTGAAGTAAGCTGTGAGGTGAAGTACTGTCAGCTCTGGGCATTGAGTAAGAATCTAAGGTTTTCTTCATAACAGGACCAGGCTCTTTGTCTGGCACCATCCCTACCTCACTGCACTCTGACAATCCAGCCCTCCATATTATGTGATAGCTCAGTGATGTGAAATATTTGTTGCATGAGGTTCCAGCAGCTGCAATCAATCATCTGTGCTGATACAATCAAGCTAAAATCCAGATCTCCAGATACATAAGGCATTAACCCAGCATGACCTTCAGGCATCAAAGTATAAGTAGCCAGGGGAATTCCCAGGAAGCCCCAAGAGCAGATCTGGACATGCCTGTGTGGTGAAACTGTGAACATGTCTGCAGGTGATTACACACAGTTTGAGCACTGGCACCAAGGAATTAGTTTTTCAGTGGGAACTTTGTGATTAACAGAAGTACTTGCATTTCCTAAGGACAAGGATGGATGATGTGGCTTTTAGGTCTGCCTTCTGCCATGACAAGAAAGAATTACCTTCTGTATATCCATGCTTGTACTGACCTCATTGCCTTCTCTGTAACGGCCTGCCGTCATATGTTCCAGTTTCTTAATGTTATCATGGCCCAGATTCATCCTTTCAGCTTTTAGTGGTCTTCAGAATCTCTCTTGTGCTTAGTGTATCTCAGTTTTCCCTTTCTGTTCCAGTCTCTCACAGCTGCATCTGTTCCTACAAATAATTTTTTCCTGTTCTGTCTGGATTAATAATGTTATGTTAATGTGTTAAGTCTTATAGCTCAAATGACCTGTGCAGCAAAAAATGAGCATTTGGCATTCAAATGTTGCATCACGTAAACAGAGGGGCTCAGGGAGGATATTTTATGTAACTGCCTCTTTGCTTGAAGGCTCAGCCTTTTGAACCCCACGTACAGAAATATGTGAAGATAATGGCATTTGGTTGCAATGCTGAACACTTGGTGGGGTTGACATTTTGCCTGCCCAACCTCCAGACTGCTCCCTCCTCGGCCAGGATTCCACACAAGGGTTGGCTTTTGTTTCCCTGATCACATAGCCTTTTTTTTTTTCCATTGGGACTCAGCTTGAGAGTGGGAAGGCAGAAGGTGGCAGGAGCAGTTGATTCCCTATCGTTGCTCAAATCTGGTCATCTCCTAACTGAGTGCTGAACTTTGGACAAACGTTGATTAATGCACAACAAGGACATGCAGTCAGCCCTGAGGTTGCTTAAATTCCTTTTGTAGCCCATCTCCATGAATGTCCCTCCAGCATGGCAGAAAAGCTGAGAGGCAGCAGCAGTATAACTGAATGCTGGAGCTGTCCTTGGGAAGGTAGAGAGACTTCCTGGAGTAACAGAGGTAGTCAGATCTAGGATGTGCAGTCTGCATTGTGGAAAGTCCTAGAGACTCCTGTGTGCATACAGCCCAGGCTGATGCTGCAATGGTTCTGCAATGAAATGGGAGGGAGGGAGGTGAGAGACACAGTAGCCTCTGGAAAGTGTGTTTTTGCCTTTCAGGATGTTTTGCTTCAGAGGACAACTGTGCTAAACCTCTGTCTTGTTTGTAATGGATACGAAGGTACCTGAGGAAAAATTAATAATGGGGAAAGGATTAGTACTTGGTAATAAGTGGTACAACAGTGTCCCTCTTTCCTGCAGCTGGAAGCAGAAATTCATGTCCATGGCCAGTTCATGAAATCTGGGAGCTGTCTTCAGTAATGAAAGTGCTGCATTAGTAGAGCTTTTGATGAATTCCTAAAAGGAAGTAAATGCTAATGATATGCAAAGCACTGATAGGTTTGGTTTCCTCATTGATGGGGGAGTGCAGTGTAAGCTTTTCCCTGTGAGCTGGTATTCTTTGAGATTGGAGCCATGATCAGTGTACTTAATTTCTTCTGCACTTGAGAACACTATTAAACTTCTCTTGGAAAGGAACAGGACTCAGCTTGCCAGATCATCTCTTACCTTTCCCTCCTGTAATTTCAGATGGTGGAACCAGTGCTACAGAACTATTGCTCTGTGGTTTGTATTTCCAAGCACCAGCTGATCCGAGAGGGGCAGGAAGGGTCTCTTTTTTTTTTTTTTCAGATTTACCTAATTACAGCTTTTCTTATATACCTCCTTTTTGTATTCCTGAAATAGATTAAACACTCCAGATGAAAAAAAACCAGCTTTTTTTGGTCCCATCTCGGTATGTTTATATTGCAGCTTAGCTAAAGCTCATTGAATTATTTCCAATAGCCAAAAGACTGTTCAAAAACTGCTGTCCATGTGTTTCTTTTCATCGTTGTTTGAATGGTCTTTTTTCAATTCCGTGGACCTTGTTCACTTCTGACATTTCGTTAAACTGTTAGAGGAAGTTGAGATTAGTCAGGTCATTTCAAATCAACACAGCAAAGTCATTCAGCTGCAATATGAGGGGAGGAGAAATGCCTACACATTGTGTTCCAGGCTAGATGCTAAATGC